TGTATCTGGATATTATCTTGATTACACATGGGCAGCTATATGATTGAAATTAGATTTGCTTCCTTTAGCAACATACAGAGTTATTCAAAGTCAATATTAATAAATGTGCACCATTATAGTGAAAGTATTGATAATCAGATTAATTAAAATTTTTTAATACTTTATAAAATCAATTCCTTCAGGAATGAGTAATTGTTTGGGCTTTATTTTGAGTTATATCATTCTCTTTTTAGCTCTGCTTTGAGGTACATGTTATTTTAGAAACTACCACAGGGCCTAGGGGAGAGGTTTCAAGACAGTGGGGCCCCTATCTCCCACCCAAACATGAACCAGAACAGCCACTCCTTTATCTGCTCCAAATGTGAAGCTTCTGAGTAAGATTTTGTTTGAAGAAATCTGATCCTAAAATAAAAAATATGAAAGTAGTTTTTCACATAATTTCTATAAAAATAAAATATATGTGATTAAAATTTATACGAGGCTATCTTGAAGGAACATAACGGTTTTAAAGATGGTGACTTTGAAATCAATGACTCAAATACTGGCATTTTCCTAGATTCCTCCTGTTCTCAGAGCCAACATCCCCTATTCTTTACCTTTTCCTCAACACCATTGGATTCATAAAATCAGCCTTTAGCTTTATGAACAAACAAAAATGCTGAAGGGATTAATCACATGGGAGTTGCTTCTGAATGACATAAGCATAACTCTCAATAAAGAAACTAAGCAAAATAAGTTCTAATTTAATGGCCAAAATTATCTTAACACCTCATTGATGTTTAATATCATCACATTAGTAATTTTATATATCTTTAAAATTTATGTTATTTTAGTTTAATATTGGCTTTACATTTGCCCTATGCTCATATTTAGATTGATACAAATGATAAAACTAGCAAAACAAATCTGACAAGACAAATAGCATCAAGCTGGCCTGACAAAGAGTATGTAGTTTATATGAACTTGTTTTAGAAAAACCTAATAGGCCACCTATTTTAAAGTTATAACTGTGAATATTTTCAAGTTTTTCTTTGATTTAAAGACACCAGTATAAAATTTAAAAAAATATATTCACAGTTCTGTTATACTAACTTGTGACATTTCAGATGACTCAGAGAAAAAGCATTCTTTAAAAAAACAAAACAAAACAAAAGCCCAGAATTGAAGAAACTCTTCCTACATTAAACCCTGTAGACTCCATACATGTTCACAAAGAAAACCTTTTAATAATTTTTCAAAATGCAGGTGTGCAAATTACTCCTGAAATAGACAAGAGTCATGTTTTCAGTATCCCCCAAACCCACTGTTAAATACACCCCATAGCATTTTTCAGCTCATAAAACTTTTATGAGCTGAAAAGTTCCTTCAGATTTTTTAACTGCTAACTACAGTTGCCCTCCAGCAACAGCACCCTAAGTTGCTATTAAGATCCATTTGAACAAATATAACATAAACATGTCCTGAGTAGCATGTTTTGTTTCATAGCAATAAAAAAAAATCAAGATTTATATGACTTGCTGAGTGCAGCAAAAAAAAAAAAAAAAATTATGAATGTCTTGGTTTACTGTAGCATGGGTGGTACTTTTGCTTACTTGGATATATAGTACATGTAGAGGTCGAGTCTATGTTTGTGAATAGGCTTATACAAGTTCGTACATATACCAAGGATTTTCCAGTCTGGAAAATGTGCCTTGATACATAAAAAGGTTGGTTTTCCAGGCACATATGTATTTTTCTTTGTTAATGTACACCTGCCTTAGAACCTATTAATTTAACATCTGCTTTAGGGCTTTCCCTTGCCAAAGTTCAAAATGCTTGAAAAATTAAATTTCTCAGAGGAAACAAATAAAATAAGTAAAAATAAGCAGTTGGATCTGAGTTAACCTCATTGTCTTAATAAGACAATAAATAATGCTTTTAGTCATAAAGAGAATGGCATATATAAACTATACAAAAATTATAAAAGAGAGGGAAGGAGGGGGGAGGGGA